TGGCATCAGAAAATGGCTTCATGAAACTCCACATCTCTTTTCCCCTTAGGGGAAAAATAATGTAAAAGATTCCATAAACCCCACAGTGTATAGCTTCAGGCTTCACACTGGTCAGGCATGGCTGGGGGGAGGGGTGTCTGTCTGTTAACCCTGAACCCAGAAAGACTTTTCTTTCTTATAACAGGACACTAGGCTCTTGCTAAAGGGAGCTGGTATTTTCTGAGACCAATCTGGTTTACTTCTTTTAGTTTGACTTTATGGGGGTGGGCTACAAGGTAAGCCAGTTATAGACCCCAGCCTCAACTTTTAGGCATGGGAAACCTGGTTTCCTCTCTCCGTGTGGCTTCCTTGACTCCACAGACTGGCAATCACCTCTCTCCAGGGAAAGGGACCCCCTTCCAATCCTTACCTCAGTGCAGTGCCCCCCATTTACTCAGTCAGTCAACCAACATTCCTTCCACTCCTGCCTGGGGGAGCTCCCGGTCCCAGCACTGGGGACAGAGTGCAGCCCAGGGTCACTCCTGGGTGCAGTGACAGGTGTCAGCAGAGGGCCATGGGAGCTCTGAGGGGAGCCCCAGACTGAGTGGGCTTGGGGACAGAGGCTCTTGCAGGAAGAGCCCTTAGGTCAGACAGTCCAGGATGAGAGAAGGGGGTTCCATCTGTGGCTGACAGGTTCCTATGCTCCCTTCCCTTGGCCCTCGGTTTAAGCCACTTATCCATTCCTGTCACTTTCTGGTATTTTTTTCCCTTTGGTACTGGGAATCGAACTCACAACCTCACGCTTGCCAGGCAGGTGCTGTGCTGCTGAGCTATATCCCCGGCCATTCCTATCACTTTCTGAAGCAGGTATGCAAGTTCTCTTTCAAGAGTGTCTTTAGTTGTGCTGTTGTGGCTGTCTTTAAGTCCTGAATTGATTCTAAATATTTACCTTTCATGGCTATTTTGACTTTGGGGAAGAGCAGAAGTCACACAGAGGCAGATCCACTGAATAAAGTGGATGAGAACACTGCATGATGTTTGCACAGGCCTTTCCATTAGATAGCAGTCAGCAGCAGTACTCACTTCATTTTTGATCATACCTCGTGCAGACACAAAAAATGACTTCCAGAACTGCTTCAGAAAGTGGCAAGAATCAGTGAAAGAATCGAGATGGTAAGAATAACAGAAGAAAGTCTTCAGAAGCCTGATCTTTAACCAACCAATGACTAGAAAGGCTGAATGAATTTAAGATCTCATGCTGTATTGAAGGCTATTAATGGAGAACTGATTCTTAAAGGCTGTGGCGCATGGCAGGTGATTCTCCAATAGCCACACTACCCATGTCCCACTGGGTAACAGCAACCAATTTTGGGAAATGCTACAACTCAAGAAGTAGGCCTGATTGGCCTGTGGGCTTTCCCATATCCCTTGCCATGTAACTCAATTCTAGCCAATGAGGTATAAGGCAAGAGCTACTGGAGGCTTCAGGGAAAATTCTTAGTTGCTCTCAAGAGAATGATGAGCTGCCATTCTCTCCTGCAAGAATGAATGAGGAAGGATGTAGACTGATTACTACACACAGCTCTCTTCTGGCAGTGGTTACCAGTTTCAAATGCTGGAGAGAGGACAACACAAAGATCCTAGCAGCAAGACGATTAGTTGCTCTTGAGGAGGACAGTTTCTAGGGCATGGAGGAGCCTGAAGCTAGCCTCCAGTAGATGGAGAAATGAATGGGAGGAGTGATGGGAAAGAGTAGGTGTTGATGAGGCTCCCAAGAAGTGTGGCTGCAAAGAGGGAGAGATGGTGGGGGCCACTGGGGAAGTGGAGCTGAGGGAAGACACGAGAGGCTCAAGTATACAATGAGATGGGTGAGGCTGTAGCTGATGGGGGGAGGGTCCTCAGCTGGGGAGGGGACGGGATCAGAGCTCAGGAGATGGGACAGGTCCTGAGGGGTGCAGTGCAGCCATCCAGGACTGTCTCTGCTCTCACAGGGAAGGAGAAGGTCATCTGCTGAGGGCAAGAGGGGACTGAGGAAATGGAAATGTTGGGAAATAGTCACCAGGATGCTCCAGGACCACTGAGGAGGCCTCGCACCCTTGCATGGCACAACAGTGGAGGGGAGTAGCGTGGACTGTGGACAGCTTTGTGTGAGGGCCCTGCTAAGTGGGTGAATTCAAGGACAGAGGGGTCCCGGGATAGCCAAGGAGCCTGACTGAGGCGGCACGAATCCGGGGCTGGGAGCTGAGCAGTTAGGGTGACTGCCCCTTTCACCTCACAAGGCTCACATGGACAGATGCAGAGGAGACTTACACCCCCAACTGACTCACACCTGTTAGTGTGGCCACTGTCCAAGACACAAAGAAGAACAGGTGTTAGTGAAGCTGTGGGGAAACGAAACACTGTGTGCAGCCGTGGGGAGGGAAAATAGTGCAGCCGCTGTGGAAATCAGCCGTGTGGCAGAGCCTTGAGAGAGTAAAAGTAGAATTAGCATGGGACTCCGCAATTCCACCGCGGGGTGTATATCTCCAAGAACTGAAAACGGGGGCTTTAGAAGATATTTGTACATTTGTTCATAGCGGCATAGCTAAAATGTGGAAGAAACCCAAGTGTTCATGGACAGACGAACGGAGAGGCAAAAACGTAGTGTATACAAAGCATGGAATATTTTAAAAGGAAGGGCATCCTGCTACGCTGCAGCACGGATGAGCCCTGAGGACGTTATTCTTGTTGAAATAAGCCCATCACAAAAAGGCAAATGCAGCATGAGTTTACAGATAGGAGATGCCCGCGGCAGTCAAATTCAAAGGCAGGTAGCGGCATGGCAGACGCCAGGGGCTGCCGGAGGGGCGATGGGCACCATCGTTGTTTAATGCATAGAGTTTCTATTCTGCAAGATGAAGAGACTTCTGGAGACAGATGGCAGTGATGGCTGCACGACAACTTAAGGGACTTAACACCTCGGAAGCACATGCTGAAAAATGGAGAAGATGGTAAATGTTACTATACATATTTAACCACAACTAGAACATTGTTTTGTAATGCCAGGAAGTTAAAGGCATACATTCAATGGGGCAGCCTAGCCGTGGCGGTCACACGGTGACATGGTGTGGTGCATGGAGGTTATTTAGTGTCACAGCCACGATACTGTAAAGGGTCAGGTGACAAATGAAAGCCCAGAGTGCTGCCTGGACCAACGGCCAGGAGATGGGGCCATTCCTAGCTCTGTCACTATGCGACTTGAGCAGGTTCCTTGCACCCTAGCCCTAGTGTCCCATGTGGGTACCTGAGACACCTGCCTTTCTAAGGTCTCCTCCAGGCCTAAGAGTCTCAGCATCAGGGCCCCCTCAAATCACAGCTGTCAATGAGCTCAAGGGACAGGTCCTTGGAGAAAGGTCCCTTCTCATGTTGTCCTTGACAGCTGCTTCTTCCCCACAGTTTGTTCATCTTTCCTGGGCGTGGGTGCTCACACCAAGCTTGCTGTGAGCAGGGACTCTTCGTTTGGGTACACTACTCCAGAAAAGGCCAGAGGAATGTTGGGGAAATGCCAGCAATAACGCCTGGAGTCAAGAAGCCAGAGGAGTAGAGTGCTACCCTTCATTGTGGGTTTTGTTTGCCCATTTTCCCTGGCCTGGATCTGGCCTGCTCCCCCTTCCTCCAGGAAGCCCTCCTGCTGCCAGCTAGGTCCCTTGGCATCTGTGTCCCCTGGACTCCAAGCAGCAGCCCTGCTTGGGTTCAGGTCAAGCCTGGGCCTTGGGGCCTTGCAGGCTCTGCATGGTGCTTGCTGACTAGAAGAAACTCCATAGGCCCCATTTGGAGGCAAATGAGAGATGGCAGGAGGTGTCCCCATGGAAGGGGTGCCCCAGTATGGTCACCTGCAGGAGAGAGATGGACCTTGTCTGACCACAGCTTCTCAGAGCCACTGGACTATGGACCAGAAAGGCCTGGCCCAAGGTCTGGCTTGCTGGGAGGTTATGTTTGACCACCAGAGTGCAGTGGCTGGGGACTTTGGCGGTGCAGAGATGGACCCCATGAGCTGGAATCCAAGACGACAGCCACAGAGCAGCGAGGCAAAGTGGGGGTCCTGACACCTGGGCTACACATGTGAGGCCTAAACCTAACCTTAACCCTAACCCATTCCTACCCCTGCCCCAACCACTAATCCTAATTATAGTCCTACCCCTACCCTTACTCTTTGTCCTAACTCCATCTCTGCCCTCACCCCTAACCCTAACCTTACCCTTAACTCTAAGCCTAAGCCCAGGGCTGCAAGCTTGCAGGGACAGAGTAAGCTGGCTCTGTCACCGGACAGGTGTGACAGCACCCTTGGCCGCTCTGGCGTTCTGCTGACTCTGTGCCAAGGCTCAGACATACTGCACTTTCAGAGCAAGCCACCAGGGAGTTGTTTCTGCAAGCAGAGGCATGCAGGGCCATCTATCTTGGAAGGAGAGAGGCCCCTGGGCCCTGAGCACAGGGAATTCAGCTTTAGCTAAGACTTCTCGTTTGTTGCTAAAATACCCAGCAACCATTCTTGTTTGTACCCAAAGCATCCAGCATGTTCCAGAATGTTTATAGACACATGGGAGGGTCACCAGGGCCGGCTCCCAAGGCCCTGGTCAGTGTTGTAATGATGTATCTAAAAGCCACACTGTAGGGGTGGGAAAGCCCAGGAGGCAGTCAGAAGTCTGGGCTGCTGTGTGACTCTAGGGCTTGTGCCTATCCCACTCTGGTCTCTGAATCTCCACATCCCTGTGGGTCTCCTGGTTCCTAAGTATACTAAAAGGGAGTTGCAGGGGCCTTAGGGACTACTCTGGCCCTAAAACAAATTTTATGAGTTCCAAGCACCTAAGATATTGTGGCAGTGACAGGTATGGTTTGTGTCCAAAGCTTTTTGAGTGGGCTGATGTGGGCCCCTGGTCCTGACCCGTTGGCATCTCTAGTCTCTGTGATGCCTCTCAGGAGGACCCTGGGGAGACCCAGGAGCCACCCAAGTGCTTCTCCATGGCCTGCAGCATGGTGCCTACCCTTCTCTTTGGTATTCCTCGTCCAGATTTGACAGGAGCTGTGAGCCCGCCGTGGACAGGTCGATGGCAGCCAGGGGCAAGTCCCGATAGGCAAAGTTCACCAGCTGCACAGGAGCAAGGCTCTTGGTTTCTTCTTCAACTTGTTGGGAGATGATCTCAACTTCGGAAATTCCTCCTTCAATGGCGGGCCTAGAGGGACAACAGGAAGGGGTGGGCCCCAGACCAAAATCCTGCTTTGGTTTCTCGAAAGGAGGAGATGGAAGCACCAGAATCTGCTGTGCCAGGAAAGCACAAGGTTGTCACACATGTCCCACTGTGTCCCCAGGACTGGACCAATGCCCTGAGCAGGTTATTGTAGTATTCTCTTCACAGGTTGGGGAAGAAAGGGAAGTGGAATTGCTCAGGTCTGAGCGTAAGAACTTTGGGCCAGGAACTTTGTCAGGGGGAGGCAGAGGCACAGATGACCCTGGGCTTTTAGGACTCTGAGTCACTGTACTTTACACTGGAGAAGATACTTTCAAATCATTTCATGGTCCCTTGAAGTGTGCCTGTCAACTGTCCCACGACAGGGAAAGATGTCTTTGCTCACCACTGGGTACTGGGAGTCTACCTGGAGACTTGGAGGGACCTCCAGGGCCCTGGGTCAGGAGAGGAGCTGGAGTTGCTGTTCCCTTCCTGTTAGAACTGGTCCTACCAGGTTGCTCTTTCTAAGGTTAGAGTAGGAAGTGGGGTTCATTTGATCAGATGTCTGAGGCATCCTAGCTCCCTTTCTATGTCATGACAGGCTCACTTTGGGCACTGAAAATAACCCCAACTCTCCTGGCACCATAAGACATCCCAGCCAGGGGCTGTGCCACCTCCTGACCACCAGGGAGCTTGGCTGTGTGTGGGGGCACTATTGGCAGTCACTGCTGATGATGCAGATGAGACTGGGTGTACTTGGGGTGATGTGGTCTTACAGTACTGACATTTGAACAGGGTGGGGACACTGCTCACCCTGAGGTATGTTTAACACTCTGCACTGTCCTGCCACAAAACCAGCAGAACCCTGGCTGGGTAACTTTGCTTTTACTCCTTCCTGTCTGTGGTCCTTCCACAACCCTCCACCCCATCTCTGCCTGCAGAATCTGGATCTGGGTCTTGTTGCTCTGGCCAGATGAGAGTTAGAAAACAGTATGAATGGATAAGAGTAAAATTTAAATATTTGAAGGAACATCTTGGGTTGGTGTCCTGGGTAATGAGAGGTCAGTTCTGATATAGAGGCAGCAGTGCAATCTGCCAGAAAAGGTAGGTGCCAGCTCTAAAGCCACCTTCTGTGGGGCTCCTCCTTGGCCTCAGTTTCTCTAGGTGAAACTCAAGTAATAAAGGCTACCTGGGAGACAGACCTTCTTGTCCTAGGGTCTGAGATGGACAGAAGTCTGGAGCAGTCAGCCCTCCCTGCATGTGGATGGGGGCCTCTACAGCCAATACTTTTCTAACAACCACTGAAACCTAACCAACAACACATGCCAGCCCTCAAGAACATTCTGAGCTAAATCTTTTTACCTCTCTTTCTCTTGGAGCATCCAGATAATGGAGGGAAAAATGGAGTTTTTATTTGAGTGCTACTGGGGCTTACTGGACCACCTGAATTCACCAAGCAATTCCCAGTGGCCCAGATCTCTTCTGTAGGCCTTGGTTAAACCTCTGCTTTTCGCTGCCTGTCAAGCGCAGATAATAGCATTCATCATTGCGTGACATTTACAAAATGACTCAAGATCCTCAGACAGAAGAGAGGATGTGCAGCTTCTGTGTTTCTCAACAATTGATAGAAAAGTGTGGGCGTTTATAGGGGGAATCCCAGCTCCCCCAGATATTTCCCGAAAGGTACATGCCGGGTTGAATATGTTCTCTTTTCTTGGGGACTGTTCAAGGAAACTAGGAATTTCTGAACTGAATAAACAGAATGCTCTGATCAGTGGGGAGTTTGAGGAGGACTGGAGTGAGTTTCTGAGCTTAACAAAATATGGCTCTGAGAAGTACAGGGCAAGTTACTTCTGCCTTCCTAACTTTCCGGCCTCCCAGTCACTTTCTGCCTATGGCCATGGTTTCCCAGTTGCATTTCTGGTCACACAGCCATTTTCATACAGAGATGAGGCCTCCATTGGTGGGAATGAAGGTTCCATAGTTCATGGTTTAAGTATCCTCTTGGGTGAGGATCAGTATGGTTAACAGAATGTATTAATGGTTCCGTCCCTGCCCCTCCTTGAACCCAGGCCTTTGCCATGTGACTTTGCTGCTCCCATCATCAGAAAGAAGAGCTGCTTTCCAACCCTTGCTACTGCTTCCAGTCATGTGACTTGTGTTGGCCAATGGGATGTTAATGGATATGACGTTCACAGGGTGTGGCAGACAGTGATAAATTCTGCCTCTGCTCCTGCACCCCAATGTCAAATCATAGAGGTTTGGCACAGCTACAGAAGGAGGTGCAGAGTCCAGTCACCTAGATCGGCTGCCAGCCAGCCCAGCCTCTCCTCGAAGTTGACCCCAGGTGAGATCAGCAGAGCTATCTGGGTGGTCAATCCAGACATATGAATGACATTTATGGTTGTCTGCTACTGAGACTGGTTGTCCCCAAGCACTACACTGGTCAGATGGCTTCATTATGCACGGGCCAAGTAGCCTGGCACAGGTGCCTAGGGCTAGAGAGGCCGGAGAGTATGGTATTATAGTTGGACCGTTATTGTCATCTTAGTAGTATTTTTGCCAAAGGGTTCCAAAACACAAAATAAATAACCACCTGGTTACACCATGCTGGCACTTGGAAGGTGAAGTGGTATCTTAGGTTTGGGGACCTGAAAGCAGATCTCCCTCAAGAGCTCTACCCCGGGGTTTCATAGAATCTTCTTTTAGAAATCCTGTCATGACTTTTAAATTTCCTTGCAATTCCTGTTTGGTTCATTCATCCCAGATACTTCCTAATGTTCTGAGTCTTGTTTTTGATAGGTTCTCCTCATTTCTGTGGCCCCTTACTGGGGATTGAGCCCAGGGCCTGTGCATTATGCAACTGTGCACGGTACTTGCTTGAATCAGCAGGACCTTATCACGTGGGAGATTCAGGGTGACACTCCTGATGCAGACAGAGGGTCCCATGGTACTCACTGTGGATCTGTCATGTTGAAAGGTGCCGCCAGAGCCATGGGTCTTTTGGTGTCTAGCAGGGCTGAGCTGTCCTAAAGCCTGCTGTCAGCATTTCTGAGTGTGGTTTCCACAAGACGTGAACAAAAATAGTGACCTGAAAACAAAAACAGGAATTTATTACCTTCAGATGCAATCCCAAGTTCTCCTAAGCATATCTAAAATTAGAACTTACTCCCGCTTTTCTGCACAGCAATGTTGGATAAATTCTTCCAATAACCCATAAAGGGGTAACAATAGGCATGAGTTTTCTTCTTCTTCTTTTTTTAAGAGATAAGATAGAACCAGAGTGGAAAAGTAGCTTCCTTTCCTTCCCTTCCTCTTTTCCTTTCCATTTCCTTCTCTTTCTCCTCATTCTCCTTCCCTTTCTCCCTCCCTCTCTCCCTCCCTCCCTCTCTTTTTTGGCATTACTGGGGATTGAGCCCAGGGCCTGTGCATTATGCTATATCCCAGGCCTTTAAAAAATTTATTTTTATTTTGAGATGAGGTCTTGCTAAGTTGCCCAGGATGGCTTTAAACTTGCAATACTCCTTCCTCAACCTCCTGAGCTGCTGGGATTATAGGCGTGTGCCAACACACCCAGCTCAAAAGTCAGCTCAAAGTGACCTCTCTGTGTCACACAGAGATAGTGGGAGAGGCAAGTTAGACCCTCAGTTTTCTGACTTCTTATCCACAGCACTTTCCACCAAGCTGCTGTGGCCCCAACCCCAGCATAACTCAGAGTCTGTATTTTTATTTTTTTAGGCCTTTTTCTGTGCCTCTCTACTGGGTCTTCAATTAGAGGCAGCAGAGCAGCTAAGAGGACAGACTCTGGAGCTAGACTGCCATACTTATTCCTTCTGCTCTCAGCTTCCCCATCCATAAAATGGGGATGGTAAGAGAATCAAGTAACACAGTGCATGTAAGGGACTTAGAACAGGGCTTCATACACGTCAAGTACAACATCAGCGCTGGTTTTCATTATTGTAAGTGTGATGTTTTCGTAAATTAAAACTGCATAGGATGTTGAACCTAGGCACATTTCAAAGCATCTGGATGGCTGAATATAAAATTGTGGCCTGAAGTTTGAGCTAGGTAACTGAATATACTTTTTCAACCAACCCAACAGCACCGCCCAAAACTCCCCTGTGAGATGGCACAACCCAGTAGACAAAGTGACGGAGCCTGGCGTAGATGGCTGTGAACAAGTCTTAACGAGGTGACTCGTAGGAAGGTGCAATCCTTTTGTAAATTGTTTTCTACCACAAACTGCTGCTCCTCCAAGGAATCAATGTAGAATAAAACTCTCCACTCAGCTTGGAGGGACAGTTCAGCTAGGGAGACAGGGACAAATGGGGAGTTACACAGACAATTCACTGCAGGCTGCTAAAGTCCAGGAGATGGAGGGTCAATCTGCCAAGCTCTGTGTAACAAAGAGGAAAGACAGTACAAGCTAATAGGTCTGAATTTGGAGCCACTGAAAAGAGGAGAGGAGGAGCCCTAAAATACAGAAAGCCACCAACCATTTCTACACCAGAGTTTTATAGGGATAGGGGTAAAAAAGCACAGAGTCAGGGCAACACCAGGGGGAATTTGGCCTGATTAGTGGTTTTGCCTTGCCTCAGTGGACCTCAAGGCAGAGGATCTAAACATTAAAAACAGAACTCTCCTCTGTAGGATTTGAGGTTGTGTGTTAACTATATAGTAAATGTTATACAATTATCCATTCCACAATGCAGATTTAACCAGTCCCATTTTTGTTGTTGTTCTCTTCATACATTCCCAAGTTGGAAAAGTCTTCCCAGTATTAGGATGGGTCATGAGCATCGTCTAACCTCAACGGACAGTGAAGCCAGGATTGAGACCCCAGGACTGGAGGACAGGTGGGCAATGTCCCCTTCCGGACATGTGTCTTCACAAGCTGTGTTTCCA